CAGGCCTGGAGCAGAGCCGTGGCCCAGACATGGCCCATTCCTGCTTTCCTCCTCGGGAAAATGGGAGCAGTACAGTCTCCTTCACAGGGCGACTGTGAGGTGAAGCGAGATCATGCCTGGGAGCCCAGCAACTCCTGCCCAGTTAATACCGATGTCTTCCCATCCCCCTTTGCCTCCCCCAGCCTTACCCAGACTCCAAGCCACAGAATAAAGTCAGGCAACAAAAACAAACACTAGCGACTCAACACCTCTTTTCATTTCATTCCCTGCACCTGCGATTCTCTCTCATGTGAATGAGTCTACTGCCCAACTTCATGGAACCCACTCTTTTTTTTTTTAAATATATCTTATTGATTTTTTTACAGAGAGGAAGGGAGAGAGATAGAGAGTTAGAAACATCGATGAGAGAGAAACATCGATCAGCTGCCTCCTGCACATCTCCTACTGGGGATGTGCCTGCAGCCCAGATACATGCCCTTGACCAGAATCAAACCCGGGACCTTTCAGTCCGCAGGCCGACGCTCTATCCACCGAGCCAAACCGGTTTCGGCTGTTTTATTTTTCTTCATTGCACACTATCACATACTAGCATTCTATATCATACAGGGATGGGTAAAAGTAGATTTACAGTTGTGAGTATGCAGAACATGGTTTATTCTTGTATCATTACTTATTTATTATTCTTTTAATCTTTATTGTTGAAAGTATTACATCTGTCCCCTTTTTCCCCCATTGCCCTCTCCTGACTCTCCCTCAGGCCCTCACCACCCTATTATCTGTGTCTATGGTCTATTACTTATTTATTAAGTACTAGAGGCCCGGTGCATGAAAATTCATGCACTCGGGGGGAGGGGGGAATCCCTCAGCTTGGCCTGTGCCCTCTCACAGTCTGGGACCCCTCAGGGGATGTCCACCTGCTGGCTTAGGCCCGATGTCTGACTATGGCTTAGGCCCGCTTCCCACTCTGCCAAGAGGCAGGAGAGGCTCCCTCCACCGCCACTGCGCTTGCAGCTGTCAACCTGGCTTGCGGCTGAGCGAAGCTCGGAGTGCATTGACCACCAGGGGGCAGCTCCTACATTGAGCGTCTGCCCCCTGGTGGTCAGTGAGCGTCATAGTGACCGGTCCTTCCAGTCAAACTCCATCCAGTATGATGACCTTCAGTGCTGTACAGGACCCACACTTGGATACTCTGCACTCACTGGTCAGTCCCTTCTGGTCTCTGACCTTGTATTCTTGTTCACTCTAATCAAGCTACACTGGGTTACTCCACAGTCCTAGACTATGTCAGACATATACTTGTCTCAGCATTTGCTGTGACTGTTCCTTCTGCCTGAAATGCTGTTCCCTCAGATATCTACCTGAATGGTTTAACTATTTTAAGTATTTGGTCTGACGTCCTGATATGTAACCTGGTCAGAAATTTCCATTGTTCTATTCTCTAACACAACCTATACCTTTCTGTTTTATTTTTCTTCATTGCACACTATCACATACTAGCATTCTATATCATACAGGGATGGGTAAAAGTAGATTTACAGTTGTGAGTATGCAGAACATGGTTTATTCTTGTATCATTACTTATTTATTATTCTTTTAATCTTTATTGTTGAAAGTATTATATCTGTCCCCTTTTTCCCCCATTGCCCTCTCCTGACTCTCCCTCAGGCCCTCACCACCCTATTATCTGTGTCTATGGTCTATTACTTATTTATTAAGTACTAGAGGCCCGGTGCATGAAAATTCATGCACTCGGGGGGAGGGGGGAATCCCTCAGCTTGGCCTGTGCCCTCTCACAGTCTGGGACCCCTCAGGGGATGTCCACCTGCTGGCTTAGGCCCGATGTCTGACTATGGCTTAGGCCCGCTCAACCCCTGAGGGCTCCTGGACTGCTAAAAGGTGCAGGCCGGGCTGAGGGCACCCCACCCTCGCT